CAATGACAATAATAACACAATATTTTCATATCATTGTGTTGTCCAGGTGTACAAAGATTACTACGGTGACATCCTGGGTCTGTCTGGCTTCACCCTGGTGCCAGTTTTAAACAGACCACTGAGCCGTGGCACTCTGACCCTGGCATCACCTAACCCATACGACCATCCACTCATCAACCTCAACTTCCTCCACCACCCAGATGATGTCACAACCTTAGTCAGAGGTCAGTTCATAATTATTATTCTCAAAGAAAGTGTTAGTGTAACGCAATACGATAGGATTGCATAGAAATAAGTTATATTTAAGATGGGATAGGCCTGGATAAAGTGTTGACATGAACGAATGTAATTAAGCAATATTTTCATAAGAATTCGGAGTTACTTGTTTAATTTTTGGGTTTGGAAAAGGCTAATGATCATAAAAATATACATCAACAAGTGTATGTCTCTGGGTCATGCGTAAACACAGAATGTTAAATCCTTATTTTAGGAATTAAAGTATTCTTGACTAGGAATGAACGGGTGACATGCAGCCATAAACACCTTCGTATAGTTAATGGGCTTTAACCAAAGTAACCAACCAACCAAGTACGCAATGTGGCATGTGTTGGAAATGAATGAAATAAGTGATTGGTTATTAAAAACTGCAAGAGAGTTTTTTATGTGGGCCTTAAACAGAGATGGGTGATATCACTCTGGTTTTTAATATGTTTATATATGGGGTTGTAAAAGTGATCACTGTGGTCTTGGGGGAGACATGTGCGATTAAAAATAATATTCTGAATCTGATACAAAGTGGGAATTGTCACAGATGGTCATCGCTGATGACACAGTGCTTCTGGGAGACTGAAAACACAGATAGAGAGTAGATGTGTATTAGAAGAAAATTAAACGCGATTAAAGAAAGATGAAGGTGGTTAGTGAGAATCGTAGTCAAAAAAAAAAAAATTGGCGTTAGACTACTGGATAGGGAATGAAGGAAGTGAATGTATTTAGATATCTGGAAGAAGGAGGGTCGGTAGATGAGGCTATGAAAGACGAAGTTTTATCAATAGATGCAAAAAAAAAAAAATGCACCAGAGTATACTTGAGAAATTTTTTTTTAAACGGATATGTGGCATACGTCTTCAATAGCTCTAAATGGCACGTCCATTACACATAGCAATACCGCTGTCCCAGTATATGCTTGCTCTGCAACGAGTGTCACTGGCAGGTTAGACGTCATAAAAAGATCATTGTAAGATGTAAATATGCTACAGAGAATAAGGTGTAAGTGAATTAGAAGACGATGTGTGAGCATAAAATTCATAATTCACGTTGTATAGGATAGATTGTAGATATAGTTTGGTCATTTAATTAAAAAGGGAAACGCAATTGAGGTTGACCAAGAGAGTGTTCGGAAACAAGGGGTATCTCAGGTTGAAAGAAGAGGTTAAGGATGGTTAAATGGTAGAGGCTCCAGCATCTACTGTATCTGTGTTAGGCAGGACTAAGCGGAATCCAAAAGGTTGGGAAAACATGTTGGGAATCAGGGAAATCAGGGAAAACGGTTCGCCACACTGGAGTTGCCTGTAATATGAATAATGGGTAAGGATGTACGTGGGAGTCATGGGAAAGACAGGGAATTTGAAAGTCCACATCATGGCTGCCTTTTGAGAAAAACTTATCTATTTCTTCCTAGATTAAGGAGTATCTTGGACATTTTGAACTGTGATGTTTGTGCATTCCAGGAGAAACAGAAATACGTGATGCTGAATGTGTTTTTCTTCTCTGAATCATCCTACTTCAGTCAGAAATACTCCATTCGACTGAATGTACAGCAATGCAAGCAACCATATAACCTGTCTTTGTAATACTCATTTGTGCTTTATAGTTATCTGTTTACAATAATGTTTTATCACTGATTTCATCATTGCTTAGTTAATCTTAAGTTAATTTTAAGCCAGCCCGTAATGCTATGCATATAAGTGGCTTTGGCATGCTGCTCTTACCTGTATTTTTTGTACCTCTGTTTGTATGCTTAAATTACTAAATAAATAAATAAATAAGAAACTGATGTAGCATTGAAAGAAACACACACACACACACACACACACACCATACATAGTGTTTGGTTGTTGAAGCTGAGGTAAGGGTCGGCACTACTGGGCAATCCTCTAGTTCAGCTCTTCAATAAATTAATGGAAACACTATGATCCATACAAAGTTTACATTTTCACTTAAATATAGTAAGGGTCAGTGAAAAATAAGTGAAAAATTTCTTATGTTAATATTAAAGGTGACGGACAGACAGACACGGCACTGAAACACACACCAAAAACAATGGCAGGTAGATAATAGAAAGTGAGAGAACACAATAAGAACAACAATAGAACACTTGTAAAGTACAGAAAAGGTATCTCAACACTACCCTGTATTCAGAGATGGGAAATATAATAATTAACCTGTGATATTAGTGACCTTGTTGTATTAGGTCTCCTGCTGGGTCCCACCTGCTAGGTCCCACCTTCTGAGTCTCCCATGCTGGGTCCCACCTGCTAGGTCCCACCTTCTGAGTCTCCCATGCTGGGTTCCACCTGCTGGGTCCCACCTGCTAGGTCCCACCTTCTGAGTCTCCCATGCTGGGTTCCACCTGCTGGGTCTCACCTGCTAGGTCCCACCTTCTGAGTCTCCCATGCTGGGTTCCACCTGCTGGGTCTCACCTGCTAGGTCCCACCTTCTGAGTCTCCCATGCTGGGTTCCACCTGCTGGGTCTCACCTGCTAGGTCCCACCTTCTGAGTCTCCCATGCTGGGTTCCACCTGCTGGGTCTCACCTGCTGGGTCCCACCCACAGTGGTAATATTACAGCAGTCGTGAAGGTCACAGTGGCAGCGTCACATAATTCATGAAGGTCACAGTGGCAGTATCATAGTCATGAAGGTCACAGTGGTGGTATCACATCAGTCATGAAGGTCACAATACTATCACATTAGTCATGGATGTCACAGTGGTAGTATCACATCAGTCATCATCACAGTGGCAGCATCACATCAGTCATGAAGGTCACAGTATCACAGTCAAGAAGGTCACAGTGGTGGTATCACAGCCATGGTCACAGTGGTGGTATCACAGTCATTAAGATCACACTGGTGGTATCACAGTCATGAAGGTCACAGTGATAACATCACATCAGTCATGAAGATAACAGTGGTAGTGTCACAGTCATGGAGGCCACAGTAGAAGTATCACATCAGTCATGAGGTCACAGTGGTATCACACCAGTCTGAAGGTCACAGTGGTAGTATCACACCAGTCATGAAGGTCACAGTGGTAGTATCACAGTCATGAAGGTCACAGTAGTGGTATCACAGTCATGAAGGTCACAGTAGTGGTATCACAGTCCTGAAGGTCACAGTGATATCACAGTCATGGTCACAGTGGTAGTGTCACAGTCATGGAGGTCACATTGGTAGTGTCAGTCATGGAGGTCACAGTGGTAGTATCACACCAGTCATGAAGGTCACAGTGGAAGTATCACAGTCGTGGAGGTCGCAGTGATAGTATCACAGTCATGAAGGTCATAGTGGTAGTATCACATCAGTTATGAAGGTCACAGTAGTATCACAGTCATGAAGGCCACAGTAGTATCACAGTCATGAAGGTCACAGTGGCAGTATCGCAGTCGCGGAGGTCACAGTGGTAGTATCACAGTCATGGAGATCATAGTGGTAGTATCAGTCATGGAGGTCACAGTGGTAGTATCACATCAGTCATGAAGGTCACGGTGGTATCACATCAGTCATGGTCACAGTGACTTCACATCAGTCATGAGGTCACAGTGGTAGTTATCAGTCAAGGTCATAGTGGTAGTACCACATCAGCCATGAAGGTCACAGTGGTAGTACCACATCATCCATAAAGGGTCACAGTGGTAGTATCACATCAGCCATGAAGGTCACAGTGGTAGTATCACACCTAAAGTCGGTTCCTGACCAGCCGGGCTGTGGCTCGTACGTTGGTTTGCGTGCAGCCAGCAGCAACAGCCTGGTTGATCAGGCTCTGATCCACCAGGAGGCCTGGTCACAGACCGGGCCGCGGGGGCGTTGACCCCCGGAACTCTCTCCAGGTAAACTCCAGGTAAACATCAGTCATGAAGGTCACAGTGGTAGTATCACATCAATCATGAAGGTCACGATATCACATCAGTCATAGTCACAGTGACTACACATCAGTCATGGTCACAGTGACTTCACATCAGTCATGAGGTCACAGTGGGAATATCACATCAGTCATGGAGGTCACAGTGGGAGTATCACATCAGTCATGGAGGTCACAGTGGGAGTATCACATCAGTCATGGAGGTCACAATGGTAGTATCACATCAGTCATGGACGTCACAGTGACAGTGTCACATCAGCCATGGAAGTGACAATGTCACATCAGTCATGGAAGTCACACTGACAGTGTCACATCAGTCATGGAAGTCACAGTGACAGTGTCACATCAGTCATGGAAGTCACAGTGACTGTCACATCAGTCATGGAAGTCACAGTAACTCACATCAGTCATGGAAGTCACAGTGACAGTGTCACATCAGTCATGGAAGTCACAGTGACAGTGTCACATCAGTCATGGAAGTCACAGTGACAGTGTCACAGTCATGGAAGTCACAGTGACAGTGTCACAGTCATGGAAGTCACAGTGACAGTGTCAGATCAGTCATGGAAGTCACAGTGACAGTGTCAGATCAGTCATGGAGGTCACAGTGACAGTGTCAGATCAGTCATGGAAGTCACAGTGACAGTGTCACATCAGTCATGGAAGTCACAGTGACTGTCACATCAGTCATGGAAGTCACAGTGACAGTGTCACATCAGTCATGAAAGTCACAGTGACAGTGTCACACTGGAGGACAGAAGGGTCAGGGGAGACATGATAACGACTTACAAGATACTGCGGGGAATAGACAAGGTGGACAGAGATAGGATGTTCCAGAGAGGGGACACAGAAACAAGGGGTCACAACTGGAAGCTGAAGACTCAGACGAGTCACAGGGACGTTAGGAAGTATTTCTTCAGTCATAGAGTTGTCAGCAAGTGGAATAGTCTAGCAAGTGAAGTAGTGGAGGCAGGAACCATACATAGTTTTAAGAAGAGGTATGACAAAGCTCAGGAAGCAGAGAGGGAGAGGACCTAGTAGCGATCAGTGAAGAGGCGGGGCCAGGAGCTGAGTCTCGACCCCTGCAACCACAATTAGGTGAGTACAATTAGGTGAGTACATCAGTCATGGAAGTCACAGTGACAGTGTCACATCAGTCATGGAAGCCACAGCGACAGTGTCACATCAGTCACGGAAGTCACAGTGACAGTGTCACATCAGTCATGGAAGTCACAGTGACAGTGTCACATCAGTCATGGAAGTCACAGTGACAGTGTCACATCAGTCATGGAAGCCACAGTGACAGTGTCACATCAGTCATGGAAGTCACAGTGACAGTGTCCACACACACACACACACACACACACACACACACACAAAAAAAAAAAAAAAAAAAAAAAAAAAACAGTTGTGGTTCTGAGGATGACAAGGATGATCCCATGTATCAGAAATCTTCCCTATGAGGATAGACTAAGGGCCCTGAATCTCACTCTCTCGAAAGGCGTAGAATTAGGGGGGATATGATCGAGGTGTATAAATGGAAAACAGGAATAAATAAAGGGGATGTAAATAGCGTGCTGAAAATTTCCAGCCAAGACAGGACTCGCAGCAATGGTTTCAAGTTGGAAAAATTCAGATTCAGAAAGGATATAGGAAAGCACTGGTTTGGTAATAGAGTTGTGGATGAGTGGAACAAACTCCCGAGTACAGTTATTCAGGCTAAAACGTTGTGTAGTTTTAAAAATAGGTTGGATGGATGCATGGGTAGGTGTGGGTGAGTGTGAGTTGGACCTGACTCGCTTGTGCTGCTGGGTCTGATGCAGTGCTCCATCCTTGAGTGGAGATGATCAGACTGGGTGGGTCATTGGGCTAATCCGGGGGGGATGGTCATTGGTCTAATCCGGGGGGACCACATGGACCTGCTCCGCATGGGTCAGTAGGCCTGTTGCAGTGTTCCTTCTTTCTTATGTTCTTAATACTGACCCTTGCGGAACCCCGCTTGTTACTCCCCGATACTGATGTCTCAGTCCCACTGTTACTCTCTCTTGAATTTCATGCATTTGTGAAGTATTGGTGTTGCAGGTATCAAACTTGCTTTGCAAGTGGGCGAGGCTCCTGCGTTTACTGATGATCTCTCAGCCAAGTTCCACGACAAGGTAAAGATATTCAACTCTTTTTTTAGTTACCCCTTCCCCTCTTACACCACCTGTTTCCCCCCTTACACCACCTGTTTCCCCTCTTACACCACCTGTTTCCCCCCTTATTTTCTACACCACCTGTTTCCCCTCTTACACCACCTGTTTCCCCCCTTACACCACCTGTTTCCCCTCTTACACCACCTGTTTCCCCCCTTACACCACCTGTTTCCCCTCTTACACCACCTGTTTCCCCCCTTACACCACCTGTTTCCCCCTTACACCACCTGTTTCCCCTCTTACACCACCTGTTTTCCCTCTACACCACCTGTTTCCACCTCTTACACCACCGTGTTAGAACCGATTCTGCAGATGTAACTTATAACTGTTTATGTTTGCCCACCGAGTTTATGTATACCTCGGTATAAATAAACCGTGAGTTATGTATACCTCGGTATAAATAAACCATGAGTTATGATACTCGTAATAACCTGAGTAGTTCTCGGTATAAATAAACCATGAGTTATGTATACCTCGGTATAAATAAACCGTGAGTTATGTATACCTCGGTATAAATAAACCGTGAGTTATGTATACCTCGGTATAAATAAACCATGAGTTATGTATACCTCGGTATAAATAAACCGTGAGTTATGTATACCTCGGTATAAATAAACCGTGAGTTATGTATACCTCGGTATAAATAAACCATGAGTTATGTATACCTCGGTATAAATAAACCATGAGTTATGTATACCTCGGTATAAATAAACCATGAGTTATGTATACCTCGGTATAAATAAACCGTGAGTTATGTATACCTCGGTATAAATAAACCGTGAGTTATGTATACCTCGGTATAAATAAACCGTGAGTTATGTATACCTCGGTATAAATAAACCGTGAGTTATGTATACCTCGGTATAAATAAACCGTGAGTTATGTATACCTCGGTATAAATAAACCGTGAGTTATGTATACCTCGGTATAAATAAAACCGTGAGTTATGTATACCTCGGTATAAATTAAACCGTGAGTTATGTATACCTCGGTATAAATAAACCGTGAGTTATGTATACCTCGGTATAAATAAACCGTGAGTTATGTATACCTCGGTATAAATAAACCGTGAGTTATGTATACTTCGGTATAAATAACCGTGAGTTATGTATACTTCGGTATAAATAAACCGTGAGTTATGTTGTACCTCGGTATAAATAAACCGTGAGTTATGTATACCTCGGTATAAATAAACCGTGAGTTATGTATACTCGTATAAAACCTGAGTTATGATATACTCGGTATAATAAACCATGAGTTATGTATACCTCGGTATAAATAAACCATGAGTTATGTATACCTCGGTATAAATAAACCATGAGTTATGTGTACCTCGGTATAAATAAACCATGAGTTATGTATACCTCGGTATAAATAAACCATGAGTTATGTATACCTCGGTATAAATAAACCATGAGTTATGTATACCTCGGTATAAATAAACCATGAGTTATGTGTACCTCGGTATAAATAAACCATGAGTTATGTATACCTCGGTATAAATAAACCATGAGTTATGTATACCTCGGTATAAATAAACAATGAGTTATGTATCCATCATTTTATATATACACTGAAAATTGACTTTAAACACTCTTTTATGGCTTAAAATCTTCTTGCCAAATAGTGTACAGTGACCTGCGGCCTTAATGACTCTCCTGCGGTAGACCTGAATCCCAATAAACACGTTTATTTACTTACAATTACACAGTTTTTAAATGGTCGCAAATTGTTTTACAGAGTAACTTGTAATAAAGTTAGTAGAATTACCGACAATATGTAAAGTAAAAGGACACAAGTGCAACTAATGTGACATTTATTGTGGCAACGTTTCGCTCTCCAGGAGCTTTATCAAGCCATTAATGGCTTGATAAAGCTCCTGGAGAGCGAAACGTTGCCACAATAAATGTCACATTAGTTGCACTTGTGTCCTTTTACTTTACAGAGTAACTTGTGTCAGTTACCTTGGATAACCAAACAATCTTAAATAAGGTAACTTCTTCTCATGGGAGTCCTCTTCATACTATTACTACCAATAAAAGTAGTTATATTTGCGTGTATACCTCGGTATATATACACCGTGAGTTGTGTGTATATCTCGGTATATATACACCGTGAGTTGTGTGTATATCTCGGTATATATACACCGTGAGTTGTGTGTATATCTCGGTATAAATACACTGAGTTGTGTGTATATCTCGGTATAAATATACCGTGAGTTATGTATACCTCGGTATAAATACACCGTGAGTTATGTATACCTCAGTATAAATACACCGTGAGTTATGTGTACCTCGGTATAAATACACCGTGAGTTATGTATACCACGGTATAAATATACCGTGAGTTATGTATACCTGGTATAATACACGTGAGTAGTATATCAGTATAACACCGTGAGTTATGTATACCTCAGTATTAATACACCGTGAGTTATGTATTATTTTTTATTATCACACCGGCCGATTCCCACCAAGGCAGGGTGGCCCGAAAAAGAAAAACTTTCACCATCATTCACTCCATCACTGTCTTGCCAGAAGGGTGCTTTACACTAGACAGTGATGGAGTGAATGAGTTATGTATACCTCAGTATTAATACACCGTGAGTTATGTATACCTCAGTATTAATACACCGTGAGTTATGTATACCTCAGTATTAATACACCGTGAGTTATGTATACCTCAGTATTAATATACCGTGAGTTATGTATATTTCAGTATTAATACACCGTGAGTTATGTATACCTCAGTATTAATATACCGTGAGTTATGTATATCTCAGTATTAATACACCGTGAGTTATGTATATCTCAGTATTAATACACCGTGAGTTATGTATATCTCAGTATTAATACACCGTGATTATGTATATTCATATTAATACACGTAGGTTATACATACTCACGGTGTATTAATACACTGAGTATCATATCTCAGTATTAATACACCGTGAGTTATGTATATCTCAGTATTAATACACCTTGAGTTATGTATACCTCAGTACTAATATACCGTGAGTTATGTATATCTCAGTATTAATACACCGTGAGTTATGTATATCTCAGTATTAATACACCGTGAGTTATGTATATCTCAGTATTAATACACCTTGAGTTATGTATACCTCAGTACTAATACACCGTGAGTTATGTATACATCAGTATAAATACACCGTGAGTTATGTATATCTCAGTATTAATACACCGTGAGTTATGTATATCTCAGTATTAATACACCGTGAGTTATGTATATCTCAGTATTAATACACCGTTTAGTTATGTATATCTCAGTACTAATACACCTTGAGTTATGTATACTCAGTATAAATACACCGTGAGTTATGTATATCTCATATTAAATACACCGTGAGTTATGTATACACAAGTAATTAATACACTTGAGTTATGTATAACTCAGTACTTAAATTATACGTGAGTTTATGTATACTCAGTATTAATACACGAAGTTATGTATCCTCAGTATTAATCCATCCGTGAGTTATGTATATCTCAGTTTCTAACCTTGGTTATGTATAACCTTCAGTACTAATATACCGTGAGTTTGTAACATCTTATAATACACCGTGAGTTTTGATGTATACATCAGTATAATACACCGGAATATTATATACTCATTCGTAGACATACACGGAGTTTTTGATCAGTTAAATACCACCGTGAAGTAGTATACATCAGTATAAATACACCGTGAGTTATGTATACATCAGTATAAATACACCGTGAGTTATGAGTAAATAAAATTAAAAAAAAAATGAATTACAATAAAAAAGAAATACGACAAAAATATAATAAATAAAATATATGAATATAAATTGCATGTGAATTTAAAATTATAAAGAAGATGAGTTAAATAAAAATGTGACACGAATATTAACTACACAAAAATTCAGTTTCCTCCCTCTCTGCAGCGCCATTCGTGAGGTATTTTATAGCTCTCCTAAACTGGTTCATACTAAGCCTGGTCATGACGTTATCGGGCGACGCATTTAACTCCTTTATTGCTCTGAAACAGAAGGTATTTGAGGCTTGGCTACCTACGGTACATACAACACCAAATTACTATACTTCATTCCGGCTGACGCATAGCACGGATGTTTTGGCAGGTGTTGAGCGGCTGCCAGCACGAGAAGGCGTACACGGATGCATACTGGGCGTGCTACACGCGATACATGGCCACTACTGCGTACCATGCTTGTGGTACATGTAAGATGGGACCTTCTTCTGATCCCCTGGCGGTGGTAGACCACAGACTCAGGTAAGCACCTCTTGTTGCATTGACCAGGATGTTAAGATAATGTTGTATCGACCAGCTCTCACCTATCACAAAACTCACAGAGGGAAAATTCTTAGGAATCCACCTTGATAATAGACTCAAATTTCAAACACACATACAACAAATTTCCCCCCAAAATTCCAAGACCGTAGGCATACTATCGAAGATACGGTACTATGTTCCACAGCCAGCCCTCATGGCCCTATATCACTCACTTATTTACCTCTATCTCACCTATGGAATTTGTGCATGGGGCTCAACAACAATGAACCATCTCAGTCAGAATGATAAATTCCCACAGGCACAGATCACTCTTTGATGTTCCTCGTGTCCATCTCACGCTATGCAAAAACTCAATGCACATAAAAGGCCCTAAATTCTGGAATTCGTTACCAGTGAATATAAAAGAAACACTGTTTATAAATTCAAGTCTCTTCTCAAAAATCACTTACTCACCCACAACTAAATAAATACTGAATAATTGTATCTCATAAATTGCATCTCATAAATGTTTCTCATTATTGTATCTCATAAATGTCTAACCTGTGACCCAGTCAAACTTTGTTATTTTTTAATTACATTACCTAACAGAATACTCCATTCTACTGAATGCTCAGCAACACAGTAAATGACCATATGACCTGTCTTTGTAATACTCATTTGTGCTAAATTGTTATCTGTTTACAATAATGTTTTTGAATTGAGACACGTATGCAACACATGTGAATCTTTATGGAAGAAACGTTTCGCCACACAGTGGCTTCATCAGACCAATACAAAGTAGAAATGGGTAAGGAGAGGAGAAGTTCGAGGTAATCAGTCCCTCAACCTGGAAACGATGTGTTCAGTCCATCACTCTTGTAGGAAGACTTCCTACAGTTAATCTTAAGTTAATTTTAAGCCTGCCCATAATGCTCTGCATACAAGGGGCTTTGGCATGTTGCACTGTAATAACTGTATTCCTTTGTACTTCTCTGTATCATGTTCAAATAAATAAATAAGTGTAATGTAGTAATCCAAATGTTAGATAACAATATTCTGTTGACCAAGATGGTGTATTACTGCAAGATAATGCTGTTATATTGGCTAGGTTTTTAAAATATTGGCCATGATGTTAAGAATGCATTATTGTATTGGACAGGATGTAGTATTAACATGTTAAATATAATGTTACTGTATTGACCAGGAAATTAACTATTGTTTTACTGATCAAAATCTTTTGTGTGTGTTCATCAGGATGTTAGGATAATGTGGCTGTAGTGAACAGGATGTTGTACTGGAAAGGATATTAATTTAGTGTTGTTGTGCTGACCAGGCTACGTGGTGTGTCAGGAGTAAGGGTGGTCGATGCCTCCATCATGCCTCTCATCATCAGCGGCAACACCAACGCTCCCACCATCATGATAGCTGAGAAGGCTGCCGATCTCGTCAAGCATGACTGGCTCCTCTCAGATCCTCAAACTCTTATCTAGATCCTCAGCTCCAGCATCCTCCTCTGATCTTGTCCCTGATGATGCTCAAAGGCTCTAGATTCAAGGAGGTCGATATTTATCTTATTTAATCACTTTTTCCTGGATGTAAATTAAAATCTATCAAGACTGGGACACCTCAGCTCCTCTCAGCTAAATCCTCAGCCTCAGCGTTCTTCTCTCATCTTTCCATTCAGAAGTGATGTAATGAAGGGAATATGTATTTTATACGTACCACTTCTAGATAAATTTTGTATTGTAGATTTGGGAAATTCTAGATAATCATCCATGGATTGGTACTGTTTGGTAATTAAGTAATAGAACAGGAAACATCCTCATTACTAAAGGAAAAAAATCACTAGTTACCCCTTAGAGAATTTTGCATTTGAAGATTTCGTATTCACACACACATATATTATATATATATATATATATATATATATATATATATATATATATATATATATATATATATATATATATATATATATATATATAATCGTGCTGAATATGTAAAACTTACGATCTTGGCTTAAATAGCAACGCTCATCTTGCCATATAGGACAAGTGAAAATTTGTGTATGCAATAATTTCGTCAAAACCATTCTGAACCTAACGAAAATAATATATTTAGTTGTGTTTTAGTATTAAATTATTGTAACCGCATCTAAAATGTATCTAGTTGGATTAGGCTAAAATAAATTACGCTTGTTATAATACGGTTAGGTAAGTTTTCTAAGATTCTTTTGTTGCAAATTATAAATTTTTACATCAACTTTAATGAATAAAATATAGCTGTAAACGTATAAGAGAAAATTTTAGAAAGGATTTAATTTTAAATGAGTTCTTGCTAATTGATCAATTTTACCTATTAGGCACGATAATATTATATATATAATATATATATATAATATATAATATTATATATATAATATATATATATATATATATATATAATATATAATATATATATATATAAATGTCGTGCCGAATAGGCAGAACTTGCGATCTTGGCTTAAATAGCAACGCTCATCTTGCCATATAGGACAAGTGAAAATTTGTGTATGCAATAATTTCGCCAAAATCATTCTGAACCTAACGAAAAAAATATATTTCACTGTGTTTAGTATTAAATTATTGTTAACAAATCTAAAATATATTTAGTTGGGTTAGGCTAAAATAAATTGTTCTTGTTATAATAAGGTTAGGTAAGTTTTCTAAGATTCTTTTGGTGCAAAATTAAAAATTTTTACATTAACTTTAATGAAAAAAATATATCTTTAAACGTATAAGAGAAAATTTTAGAAAGGACTTAATTTTAAACGAGTTCTTGCTAATTGACCAGTTTTACATATTCGGCACGACATATATATATTTACATATATATATATGCAATAGTTCGGCCGGCGGGCCTGCTGTCTCGCGTCAGGTGTTTCGTTGTTGTGGGATCTGATAGAGATGTGTGGGCTACCCCTTTATATACCTTCCTTTGATGCTTTACTTTCATTGTTCCTTGATAATGTGAGTAGTCACGAAAGCGCTTGGAACTTCTCTATTCTTTCACAGTGGTTGTTTTGGGGTGTGTTGTGTATATATATACGTATATATATATATATATATATATATATATAAAAAAAATATTAATATATATATTGTGGGGAAATTATTTAATTTCCGAAGCATAGTGCCTAAAAAAGTGTTTAATGTGTTGATTTGGATCAAAAGGTTTTGGGTTTTTGGGGGAAACCCAAACGGGGGTTCCCGCTGCGCCTGCGCAAAAGTGGGGGGTATAGGTCGACGGGGGCCCGGGGAGGGGGGTTTTTTAAATGAAATGGGGAAACTTGAAACTTTGGGATCGGGAAATTGGGCTTTCCACGGCGGCCAAAGGGATTAATATGGCCCCTCATTTCCTAATAGGAAGTGCCCGTAACGTTTCCCGGGTGAAGAGTGAGGGAACGGTTTTTCGTGACCACCCGGAATAAAGGGGTAAAAAAGTGGGATAATAGTAGGACCGGGGGTGACGGGTCCCGCCCCCAGGAATGTGCCCAGGGGGAAATTTAACCCATTTTTTTAAACCTCTTTCAGGGCCCTCAGATTTTAAATGGAGACCCCCAAAGGGTTAATAATAATTATGAGACTTAAATCGTTTGTAATGGAAAATGAAAATCGGGTTGTTTTAATAAAAATTAAGTTAAGAGAATGGGGAAGTAAATAAATCGCCCTGCTCCGACTAAAACGCGTGGTTCTCGTCCCGGGAAAAGCAAAGGTTTTATGGAATCACAAATTTCAAAACCCGGGGAAAAACCCAAACGGATAACTCGCCTGCTGGAAAAAGAACCGTGTGGGTTTAAAAAAAAGGACACGAAATGAGATGGTGAATGGGGGAAAAAAGGGAGTATAAATTTTCCCCCAAAAGTTAAATTAGGGGGTTTTTTTTATTATAGCAGACTGATACTGGCCATTTAAATGTAGGTTTTAATTGGTTTAGGTTAGGGGTGACCCAAACCCACATCAATACCACCAGAGAATATCGGTAAGTGGTGGGATATATATCCCCCTGTGTAACCTACCCCCCCCCCCCCTTTATTCAGTTTAAAATAATAAAATCTATACAGTCCAAAAATTAATTAGTAGTGCCATACTTGGGTGATACCCAATTTTTTACTGGGCTCGGGTAGAATTTTTTAAAAAATTTTAGGGGGTTTTGGGGGGCCCCCCTGCAGGACCAGAGGGGGGTTAAGGTTTTTTTCACATGTCTACACGGGGGACTACGGGAAAAAATATAGTTTGTTTTTTCTCCCAAGGGGATTACTCTAGCATGTAAATTGAGGTAAAATACAAGTAATCACCCCCCTTTAAAAATTTTTCCCTAAAAATAAAATATTAATATAAATTTATAAATATATTTATATATAATATATATATATAAAATTTTTTTATATATAATATATCGTTTCCGAAAAAGTAAAATGGGCAATTTGTAAGAACTCATTTAAAAATTTTGCCCCGGGGAAATTTTTTTCTTATAAAGATTAAAGGTATATTTTTTTCAAATTTAAATTTTAAATTTAAAAATTTTTAAATTTTTTCCCTAAAGAATCTTAGAAAACTTACCTAACCTTATTTAACAAAAGCAATTTATTTAGCCTAACCCAACTAAATATATTTTTAAAAAAAGTTTTTCAATAATTTTTGTGCAAACAAACACAATTTAAAAATATTTTTTTTTTAGGTTTAGAATGATTTTGGCGGGAAAAAAAATTTCATAAAACAAATTTTTTACTTTTTCCTATATGGCAAGATGACATTGTAAATTTAAAACCAAGATCGCAAGCTGCCATTTGGCACGACATTTTATATATATATATATATATATATATTATAAAAAATTTTTTTTTTTTTATCACACCGGCCGACTCCCACCAAAGGGAGGGTGGCCCGAAAAAAAAAAAAAATTCACCATCAATTTACTCCATAATGGCTTGCCAAAGGGGGCCTTTAAAACTACAGTTTTTAAACTGCAACATTAAAACCCCTCCTTCAGAGTGCAGGCACGTACTTCCCATCTCCAGGACTCAAGCCCCCCTGCCGGGTTTTCCCCGAATCCCCTTTATAAATTTACTTTTCTCACACTCCAACAGCACGTCAAGATTAAAAACCATTTGTCCCATTCACTCCATAAAACACGCCACGAAACCCCCCCTGTGGAAGTCCAAGCCCCTCGCACAAAAAACCCCCCTTTTACCCCCCCCTCCAAACCCTCCTAGGCCGACCCCTCCCCGCCTTCCTTCCCTACGGATTACCTCAAAAGTAAATCGTTTCCCCATTCTCTCTACATTCCAACCACCTCAACAACCCTTCCCACCCTCGGGACAACATTTTGGTAACCCCCGCACCTCCTCCAACTTCCAAAAAACAAATTCCTGCTTTATATTCAAAACCACACATTCCCCCAGACAGCACCCACTGCCCCCAGCCTTCTCCTCGCTGCAACATTCATCACCCACGCTTCACACCCATATAGGACGTTGGAAAACTAAAACTCCAACATTCCCCTCTTTGCCTCCAAGGGCAAAGTCTTTGTCTCCACAAACTCCTAAATGCACCCCCTCAATCTTTTTCCCCATCAATTCTATGATTCACCTCATCTTTCATAAACCCCACCGGACACTCCATCCCAAAATCGAATACGCACCTCCTCCATACTCTCTCCCTCCAATCTGATATTCAATCTTTTTATCACCTAATCTTTTGTTATCCCAAACCTTACTTTTTCCTTTTCCCCCCTTTTAAATTTTTTTCTTTTGCACACCCCACCAAATTCACCACCAATCTTGCAACTTCTCTTCAAATCCCCAAAAGCACAGTGTCATCACAAAGAGCACTGTACAACTCCCACTTTGTGTGTGATTCTTTATCTTTTAACCCACGCCTCTTGCCAAGACCCTCGCATTACTTCTCTTAAAACCCCATCTATAAAATATTAAACAACCACGGGGACATCACACATCCTTTTCAAGGCCTACTTTTTTTTCTGGGAAAAAATTCCCCCTTTTCCCACAAACTCTAACTTTGGCCTCATAAAAATATAAATATATAATATATAATATATTTATATATATAAAAATATAACCAGGGGCCCGGGTTTCCAATAGGGAAACTAGGCTTTGCCTAGAGCCCCGCGCATTTTAGGGCCCCACGGTCCAAGGGGGTTTAGGGGGGTCATCCAAACTGCACCTGGTGCAAGTGAAAAGGGGGCCCTACCTAAAAATTTTAAAAGTGTTTGGAGAGAAAAATTTTTTTTTAAAAATTAATAAAAACAAAAAAAAAAAAGAAATAAAATAAAATAAAAACAAAAAAACCAAAACCCATAGATGGCAAAAATCAAAAATTTTTTTGTTTACATCAGAACAGCTGTTTTTTTTCCCGCAAATTTGGGTAGTATGGGAGTTTCCCCTTTTCCCAATTTTCTGTAGAATTACACTTTATCTAGACTTGAAACTGTGAAAAATTAATTTAAGTGTTGTTAAAAGGGACATTGAGGGTGTAGGATAAATTTTTTTTTTTTCCCGCCTCAAAATTTTAAAGGGGGGTACCTGATGGGGTTTTACTTGACCAGTAAAAAATGCATGAACCAGAAAAGGACGAAATTTTTGGGAAAAAATACTATAAAGAAAAACCAAAAAACGCAAACGACTTTTCCCTTTGTAAAGGGTTTTTAAAACACTTTGTCCTGTCTTTTAAATCTATCATTTTTAATAACAAAATCCAATTGATTGATGTTTTTTACATCACTTCCCTCGCAAAAGCTTTGTTTTCAATTGCGACGGAAAGTGATGTAGAACATCAATTTAATTTTTTCACAAAATTTCCCCCCGAAACACAAAAGCCACATCAGAAAAAAC